GTGCAAAAATGTCCCCTCAGGGCCAAACGGGTATGTGACAAGAGAATCGTAATTCACCGCGCTGGTGGGCGTCGCGTGCGACGTCGCGCCCGCAAATGACGATGGTTCCAGGTAGTAGATGGCGACAACAGGCAATTCAGAACCGAAAATAGTCATGAATGTCTACGATGACGGGGTCTACATGAAGTCCGGTGCTCCAGTCGACAGTTAACACGAGTTGAGAAAACGCCGCGCCCATCGCCGCGCGCGGCGGAGCGGCAAATTACGATTCTCTTGCCCGTCTCCCAGGCCAAACCCTTAATTCCTGTCTTTGTCAATGAATTTCTCGTTTTTTTAGAATCAGTCAGTCTTCACGTCCATTTTCAGCCATGCGTACTATTCCTGCCGTGTCGCCATATGGTCATCTGTGATAGTTGCCATGCTGAATCAACAATCACTGAATGTCCAACATGCCGCACTCGAGTCGGTGACTCAATGAAAGTCTTCTCATGAGCAACTCTTGCTGCCCAACAATGACAACCAAAAATGCCTTCATACAGTGCCTGTATGTGTTAGATGATCTTGTCTAGGAGCCTGGCTTGTTTTGTGATGCTTTAATACGAAGTTATTTATGTGATGTCTTCTTGCCAACCTCTATCGTTGGCTTGCACGGAAGATCGAGCTGCCTATGCCTCATGCCCTCACTGCTCTCATAGATCTTTCGAAATTCGCTTCAGATTCGCCAATATCGAAGTTCAATATGATGAATAAAGTTCAAGAATTCTATTACCAGTATTGCTGTTGAAATAATCACCTAGTGTCGTTTCGCTGCAAACGGGGTGGATTTAGCGTGGAGCCGTCCCCCCGCGCTTCAGCGTCCGCAGCGAAAACTGTAGTTGCAGTGCCGGAAAAAGCTTGTGGCAGGGCAAAAATAACCCCTTTCAACTTCCTTGCTCATCTTTAAAGGACTGATAACTGACAGCAATCAATAGATAACAATATAAGGCGTTTATCCTTCATCGCCCCTATTTTCGAAGTTCAGGTATTT